ATATATCCACGTTCTAACATCTATAGATATCCACGCTCTAACATCTACAGATATCCACGTTCTAACATCTATAGATATCCACGCTCTAACATCTACAGATATTCACGTTCTAACATCTACAGATATCCACGTTCTAACATCTACAGATAACCACGTTCTGACATCTACAGATCTCCACGTTCTAACATCTACATATATCCACGTTCTAACATCAACAGATATCCACGTTCTACATCTACAGATATACACGCTCTAACATCTACAGGTAGCCACGCTCTAACATCTACATATATCCACGTTCTGACATCAACGGATATCCACGTTCTAACATCTACAGATATCCACGCTCTAACATCTACATATATCCACGTTCTGACATCAACAGATATCCACGTTCTAACATCTACAGATATCCACGTTCTGACATCTACAGATATCCACGTTCTAACATCTACAGATATCCACGCTCTACATCTACAAATATGCAAGCTTTAATATCAACAGATATCCACGCTCTAACATCTACAAATATGCACGCTCTAACATCTACAGATATTTACGCTCTAACATCTACATATATCCACGCTCTGACATCTACATATATCCACGCTCTAACATCTACAGATATCCACGTTCTAACATCTACAGATATCCACGTTCTAATATCTACAGATATCCACGTTCTGACATCTACATATAGGCATGCTTTTTTATTCACGTGTAAGCACGCTTTTATAGCTTCAGACAAAATTGAAAAATCTATTGTGGTGGTTGTATTGATTTATTTACAAAATACAGTATAAAACCGACTCAAAGAAACTTTGAGAATAATATTTTTTTTTACCTTATGATACTAGAACAAAACATATCCAATAAGAAACCTCTTCTCTGCTGTAAACAAGACAATGTAATATAATATAATTACAATATAATTGAAAATTTCATAAATCCTAACGCTATCTTAAAGTAGTGATGTCGCTCTTTAACTGCGCTTAATAAGACCTACATCTCATTTTGCTGAACATAATATCGATACCAAAATCCAATTGAGGCAACCACGCATATTAACATAATTCGGCTAATTGATTCACATAATCTTAAACACAATATCAGCATATTAACTCATGCATATTTGTTAATATTTTTTATTAACAGCTGCTCATATCATGCTCTCGTATGGTTTAAAACATTAAAATCGTTAACTTATAACAGTTTTTACAAATACCATGAGGCTAACATAAATACTATAACAGTATTTACAAATACCTTGAATATAACAGGGATACTATATAAGTATGTATGCTTCTACACTCAAAACAGAAACAACTTGAACCACCAAATGAATGAAAATGGCCACCAAGATGGTGATATTTGAATTTATTCCAAAAAAGGCACTTTAATGACTCTTATCATGAAAAATCATATTACGTGAAAGAACTTTTGCAATGTTATAAACATATGAGCAACTACCAAACAATATAAACAAAAAATGTCAGCTAGTCTAAGTGGGGTTGGCCAATAACCGCCACAAAGACACTTCTGAGTAAAACATTCAGAATGTCTTCCCCACAAAAGTATTTACAAATACAATGAAGCTAACATGGATACTATGACAGTATGTACAAAGCCATGAAGCTAACAGGGATACTATTTACAATTGTTATACCTTCTGTTAAAATCTCGTAATCTGATTGGTTGAGAAAGATGTGAACATTTTCAATGTTATTTGCTCGTTTTACAAATATAAAGAAGACAGGGTGTTATTCCAAAAAATATCACATGCGCCAAACGTATGACAGCACGGTTCGTCACAGTGCCAGGGTGTTATTCCAAAAAATACCACATGCGCCAAACGTATGCGTGCACGGTTCGTCCCAGTGCCAGGGCGTTATTCCAAAAATTGTTACATGCGCCGAATGTATGCGCCCCTGGTTTATCCCAGTGAAAACTTTTCTGAAAAGTTTGTCGACCTTTAAAAATGGTGAAGTGGTGAAACACCTAAACATGACACTCGGTATAATAAAATAAAAATCACATTCGCCTCGGTCAACAATGCTTCCTTGGGGTGAAAATATGCAATATCGCCCTCTCATGAATGTGATATTTATATATTACTATATGTGGATTGAGATTTTGTTTAGGGCAGTCCTGATATTAATTATCCATACATTCTTTTATTTAACTCAATTATTGAGATATTTATTCCACACAAAACAGGTAGCTAGCTATCTATAACTTTTTGAATAAGTTGTTTGATGTGAGTATTGATAAATCTGATCCTTTAAGAAAGCATGGATACACAGTACTATATATTACATAAGTAACTATGTGATAGATCTAAAACACTATATAAACTTTCAAAATCATCGATAAATGTTCCTCTAAGAAAGCAATGGATATATACTATATTATATGAATTATCATTTCGTATGTCAGACTTTCTGAGTTGAATTATCCATTGTGAGTCCAAAAGTCCACTTCCGGATGATATTCAAACTAAACGCATTGATCTAGCCAAATCAGACACAATCTATTTTCGCTGGTAAATAAGTGCCTGTTGTACCGTAGTATTTCCTGTCAATGCAATATGTCATTCACAAAACCAATATTTCTGATAATTTAACACAGAAAGGTTACATATCACTAAGTAGGAGCCGGGTTCATCCTCGATACTCCAGGGGTTACATGTACACTCACTTTTGCTCTTTGCACCCCTGAAATATGTAATAGCAAAATTAACGACACGCGGCTAGCTACTTGCTTGGTCTCCGGCAGAGAGTGTTTCGTGAGTGTAACCACTTGAGTACATGCCCTAATTACTTAGAAAGAAGAGCATACGTGCGGATTTAGGTTTTCACATGATGTGTAGTCTCTTTATTTTGCTGTACAAGTATTTGTTTTCACAATGTGAGAAGTTTTTTAAACATATGGTAACGGTAATGATTTGTTTTTTGAGCCCAATCCTCTCACTGTTGTTTAGTTAATTAAAATTTAAGTGTAGCCGTCTGCCTTATATAGATGTGAAGTTTGGTTGCTGTCTAAAAGAGAAGTATTAATGTTGGAAAGAGCGCAGAACTATTTTGTCAAATGTATACAAGGGTTTGAATAACGAACAAGGACTGATGTGTGTAATTCATTACTAGGATGAACAAGTATTGCATCTTGTATTGATATTAAGAAATCATTATTTTTGAGACGAATACATATTACGTGTCTGTACAGAATAATTGTCACATTGTTTTTATGCTGAACGTCAATGATGGCAAACACTATGGATATATGTGTAATATCTCGTATGTCAAGACTTTTGAAATTATGTCATTACTGTGGGAAATTCCATTACGAAACTGTTACTTATATTATCTTACATTGTGACAAAACTACTGAAGTAAAAGACAAATGATGGTGCCATTTTATTAGTATATTGGATATACAACACAATTAACATTCACATAATTTACAAGAACTTGATTAGACTTTTTGGGAAATGAAGAGAATTATAATAGCAAAATAGTTTTGATTAAGTCGACCATAAACATATTTTCGACAATGTTTGCAGATGTATTTAATCAAAGAATATATATATATGGTTGAAATCATCGCAAACAAAAATACGTAAAACATGTATCGCAAACAACCTTTACAGTATTTGTTATGGTGTCAGTAAAATTGATATTTTAATTAATAGCTATCCAACCCATGTCTACGTTGAAAAACAAACCCCGCAATATTGCCTCATTTAAATCTAACTATTTAAATGATTGTTTGAACATATTTTATCCAAGAAATATTACAATATTATGTTGAACAATGATTTAGGACAAAGAACCAACCACTGGGTGAATAAACCAAGTGCTCAATACAAGTACCGATACTTAAGCAATGAATGTTTTATCAAATGTTGTTATAGGACCATAACAATATTTGCTAAAATATTCATTATTATTTATATGTACATTTTGATAGAGAAGTAATGCGTTATTTAGTTATTTCGAACAGTATTTGAACCGCAAATGAAGTGCTGACAACAACGAAACTGATGACGTCACACTAGAGATTGATGACGTTACAATAGCAAATGTTGTTATAGTCTCACAACAACATTTGCCTTCGGAATGCATTACGGTGGAAAGATGCAGAGCAAATGTAAATATAGTGCTGTAGTTTAAAATGAAGCATAATACAGAGGATGGTCTAAAAAAACCGAAATGTTAAAATGTACACAACTAGGGAAATAGGCGTATGATCGTTAGTTTGCTGAATCTCTCGGGTTTCTTTCTAATTTTAGTACATCTCTCATCATATCCGTTATATTTGTATTTCTTGGAAGTTTTTTTTTATCCTTAAGCTAATTCCGTCTTTGCGTATTGCAGAGTTATCTTCTCTTGGGAGCAGGTATTGATTGTTACGTCATTGGTTTGTGTGATAAATTTACGTCGTTTTCTGAAAAATTGATGACGTTACTCACACAAACAAGTGACGTAAGAATCAATACCTGCTCCCAAGAGAAAATAACTCTGCAATACGCAAAGACGGAAAAAGATTATCGAAACAATATGTTGTGTCAAAAGACCGAATTTCAATTCAAACATTTATTTAAAAAAAAAATATACATGGTATGAACGAGTCGTATATATGGTATTCGTGTGAAACATACTAATGGTTTTAATGTGAAACATATACATGGTATTAATTTGAAACATATGCATGCTATTCCATATTATTCCACGGGAAAGATATATATAGTATTAACGTGAAACACATACATGGTATTTACGTGAAACATATGGATGCTTTTCCACGGGAAACATAAATATGGTATTAACTTGAAACATATACATGATATACCAAGGGAAACCATTAAATAAGTTTATATCGTTATCCAATAAGTTGTCAAACTTAAGGAATAAAAGTTGAATTGTGTATGTGTGTGTGTGTGTGTGTGTGTGAGTGTGAGTGTGTGTGTGTAGGTGTGTGTGTATCATATTGTATGTTGTCTCTGTATTGTTTTGTATATATGTTATGACTGATAAGTCAACCGACTTAAATTAATAAAGAACTTGAACTTGAACTATATCGCTGGACTACTAAAAGCACATCTATGAAAAATACGACTGATCAATACAGCATAAGCGCTTTTGGAATCCATGTTTTCCTTACTTCATCGTAACTTCCTCTTCCATAAAAATTCGTAACATCCATTGACGAAATCATCAAATTTATTTTTTTGCTTTTAAGCATCCCAGTCCCATTACACTATGGGTTTTCTCATACCAGTATACAGCTTCCCCTTTATTTCGTTTCGAAAATAAAACAGCAGCACAGCTGGACCAAAATACTTCTGCTGATTAGTTTACATTCCTTATTAGTTTTTGCTGAAGTTATCATTATTATTTTTCATAGAAAATTCTGCAAGGGATGGCTTTCTTTGCCCAAATGACTTATCAATGCTATAATCATGCCAGATAAATAGTTGCCTATATGTAGCTACAGCTTTTGGCAGTGGTACATGGATCCTTAAGCTATGACTACTGGCTATGTATAAAAAGAACATCACAGTAATGCTTCATGTTAACGTAGATCTTTGAAAGTTCGGTTCGCAATTTTTTGTCCATAAAACCATATATGAAGGGATTGATGACGTTGTTAAGGAAAAATAAATTACAAATGATGTTCTCCAGGGATCCATAATTGTTCACAAAATTATTGTATAGTGATGAATTGAAATGCCAGAACAGAGTAAGAACGAGGTAGGGGAGATAAACTCCAAAAGATATTATCGAAACGACAAGGAAAACCAAAGTAATAGTCCTGCTTCTGTCCAGTTGCCTTTGTCTCTTATGGTCATTACGTGTTAGTGTGTTAATATGGTTAATTCCTGTAACTCTCGATTGTTGTTGTTGGTTACTATGACGAATTTTGGTGTCATTGCCCTTCATGACAGTGTCTTGTGGAACTGTCGGCATCACACAACTCTCTCGAAGAACATCAACATCACAAACACAACTTGCCGCCGTGGCCGAGATCTCAATGTCACCGGACATGTCATTCTCCTGATATCTGTTGTCTTGTTTGCGGCCATCTTTGGGGAAAACTGATTTGCTTCCTGTTTTACCAGATTCCTGTACGCAGAATGTTGTTATTGCTGATTTAACAGTACCATTATTTCTGAGATTGTTCTGATGAGCATATAACTTCTTTCTGATCAAAATATACATCACAGCTGATATGATTACAAGGGAAAGGTAAACGATTAAAAAAGTTCCCATGTATGTTTTCGCTAGCGTTGAACCTTTGAAATGATCTAACACATCACACTCAAAGCCAAGCAGCGAATGCGCCTGAGTTGTCTTCCGGTTGATGCCATAAATGATAGTCACCGGAATTACAACCAGAACTAACATTAAAACACAGCTAACTGTACACACAATACGTGTTATCCGTGTAGTGAATTGGACTCGAGTGGCGTGACACACCTGCCGATAACGTTCCACAGCTATCCAGGCCAGAATCAACAAAGAGTATGTTCCTACCGAGTACGTGATGGCGCGGTACACCTTGCAGTACGGCAAGGATTGTACTGTGTTTGGATGTCTGATGATGTACAGTGTTGCTGGGATACAGAAGATACATCCAACGAAATCAACGCAAGCTAAACACAAAACAAATATTTGATGTACGCTTGTTTTGAATCGCAGAAAATACACCAGAAACACGTGTGTATTACCAACCGTCCCGACGATACAAAGAACTATCAGATAAACCATGCCAGGATTTCCACTTTTCTTGAATTCGTCGTAATCCTCTTCTTCAAGAGAATACGTAACGTTTAGAGACGAATTCATCTGAAATCTTGATTTGATGGTTGAAAGTTTATGTATCTGTACATGTTGGTGTGTATTGACCTAACTTCCTTAACTCTCAGTGACGATTTAAGTATTCAATAAGTACGGGTTCTCCGAAATAGGGATGCATTTTCAATTGTTTGTGTTGTATATACGGATATTCTATTTCCGTTTTGTCTATTACTCATGTCCCACAATTCAAGGGGCATCGCTGTGAAGTGTATATGTATTTTGTCTTTTTTTCAAATACTACATAAACATATCAAGTGAGTCTCCTAATGGAAAACAACTATAGGATTTGTCTGATATATATTCATAAAAATGAATAATTTTAAAATAATCATCGGGATTTCTACATATCTGACCAACATTTTGTTCAGGGATTTCCCTCTACTAGCGCATGCGCATAGCAAACCATTTCATTGAAACAAAATGGCTAGCCGTTTGAGGTAACCGTTACCGGCTCAGCTACGAAGCGAAAAGTTGCCAAATGGTCAAAAGATAGCGCAAGGATTACGTTACGTAATCATTATTGCAGGTGGGAAGTATTCAAAGGAGAAAACAACTGCCCTAGCATGTAATAATCCGGATAGCCGGTTAAAGCTTAAATGGAATCGACAGAAATGCTGTTTATGTTATGAATAAATATCTAAAACTATTACCTCGCTAGTATCTTTGTCTGAGTTGGAACACATATGAACTTATTTTGTTATGTTAATGGGCATGTATCGGAGAGAGTTTTACCTTGGTGTTTCTATATACAGTAGTTTATGCGAAAGGAATGGATAAGTGACTGGTTAGTTTAATTCAGTAAAATGGTATGATATAATCATATTGCTGAAGTAATTAAATGTTTTTCTTATTTACATGCCACATTTAAATATGTCAAAATGACGGTTCAGGATGAATAACTGAGGAAGGAGAACCTACTTATAGTAAATAGGATCGCATACCAAAAGTGTTTTTTAAATCGTTATGTTTCAACAGTTCATATTTTCACATGATGATGACTTAGAATGTAGGATCAAGCATCAACTTTTTCACTATAAATAATTAATTTCGACTTCAGATAGAATCGGAATACGCATTGAAAACGGGGAAAAGGTCATTTGTTTACCTTGTAAAAATGACGCATGCTGCCGATAACTACGGCTTCTGTTTCGGACAAACATAACTGATTAAAGAAAAGTTGTCTCAACATAAAAAAGGATCCATTTACAAGTATGATTTAGTCTATGTAAAGTATTGAAAACATATAATTATCAAGTATCTCAACACGTTCTATATCTGATACATATTCTACATGTATACGTAGTGGTTTTGCCAGAAAAAAGGTTTATTGTGTGTGATGATTTATATGATTAACTAAGTGTTAGCGCATGGTCTAGAAAAAAAAGTGGCCAAAGACATTGAGTTGTACAATGAAAAAACAAAATTCACAAACGTTTCTCTTTTTATACTTGTCAAAGCATATACACTTTATGAAAACTCGTGAATATTCCTTTTTACAGAAAGGATTGTCCCTTGGTTGAGGGAAGGTGTTTAGTCCCGTTCCATTTGTACCAGTCACGTTCCGGTTATAGATATTTCGTGGTGTCTATAAGTAATGAGTTGCCAACAAATATTTCTTCATCTAAATTCTGAATATTGGCATGTGTGCAATTAACTTCTGATGATGAATACTTACTGATTCAATAAGTTTCAACTTGGACTTGAAAATCATATTATTTGGTTTCATAGTGCGGTAAGAAGTTGCAGTTGCCCCTCTCTCGGGGGGCCCCTTTTGATCTCGTTCAGATCACCTGTGTTTACTGCCTCGAACAATTCAAGTTGTCAAACTGGACATTTGGAACGGACTACGAATATGGGGATATCAAGGTAACATAAGTAGAAATGCATACAACACATACATTCATTAAAAAATATGGCTCTTCACGTTATGTCCCTTTAAGACATTTATCTGATATTGGTGATTAAAACCTTTTCTAAAATGGCTAACAACGCTAACCATTGTTAAATGGGCATGATTATATCGCCCCAACTAACTGCGTTTCTTGGTGTATTTAAGATATCCCAACTTATCAAGCCCATATTAAGACGGTGTGATAATTGTCATCACTCATATATCGAAACTAGGTATCTTTTCACAAAACATTGCGTAGTTGATAATGACACAACCTGAAACCAATGTCCAGCAAGGGCAGTTTAATACGTCATCATGGCGTAACGATTTAAGCGGTTGTGAGGATTGCTTCAAAAGACATCATTTTTGCGCCTGTTACGCAATCATTTTCTTTTTTGTTTTGTTTTGCTGACTGTTCATGTCTCCCCTAGGCGCTGTAATGGCAGTAAGCAATGACGATCAACACCATCACTCAGTTTAAGTGTTTGTGTATACTTGGGACATTGTATATTTGATAATGATATCCTAGCTCATTGACAGGGTTGTTACGGTCCAATTAAGCTGACAGGGAACCCAAAACATTAGTATAAAGGTGACACTTGCTCGGTATGGGCGTGGTGAGAGTCCTGAAGTGTCGTCTGCTGGATATAAAGTAACTACTCGGTAGAAGTAGTAGAACGGCGGTAAAACAACATTTATTTCAGCTCGAAATACTTGACGATATGTCACATCTCTCCCTTGTTTTCCTACATATATAACTAGTCAAGAGCAAGATCTCATGAACAGTTAACATTACTTCAATGACCCTACAGAAGACAATTTCACTATTGAACACCACTTGATAGGGTACCCATCTCATACTCCTCCCGCTCGGACTTAAATGGAGCTTAATGAATAGGAAATACGGGTGAGCCATAGACATACAATGCAAACAAATTATAAGCTACATTACTGAAGGGAATTTCAATAATAATGACTTATTTCAATACCTCAGCTAACAATGGCACTGAGTTGCGACCCGGTTTAACTTCCAACTTGTGATTAAATCTGACAATATCTGGTACATAAGTTTACAAAAATATGCATTTATAGTGAAAGCCTGAATAAGTACTTGACAAACTGTTGAGGATAAAGGATGGAACATGCGTGTAAATATTCCAGTTGGTTTTATGAATTATTTTTAATTGTATTTAATGAACATTCGATTGGTAAGACGTAGGAGTTAATCAATAATAGGTTTTGTCTTTACTATTGATGTTATATTATCTTCATTATGATAAACGTATTGTGACGGGACCTGCAAACAGCTGGCCTTTTTTTTTTGTTCCGGTTATTTATACTGAACAACACGGACGGAATTTTCCATCGTGTTTCACGTTTGGCCTGGTACATAAGTCATATACAGTATAGATATAAAGTTAAGTTTGGATGTCACTGCACTGTGTATTTTTCTATATAAAGTTTCCTTATTTTGCGTTTGGATATAGCTGTTGCAGAGTTTGGCACGAACCCTCCGTTGACCAAGTACAGAAGCACAGTCGGTTAGAACAACGGTATAACAATCCATGGTCCAGGGTTCGAATCTCAGTCTAGGCATGTTTTTTCCCACTCAGGTGACTGTTGATAATAAACACACCTATATGATATTGTTGTTTACGAGTTAAATAATATGTGTGTATGAACATATCAATTTCGCTTATTTTTGGGCCATTCATGACATTATTTTGTACTGAAATAATGCATTACTTAAAACTTAAGGAATACATTTCTTATAGATAAGTGTATATGTATTACAATTGTATGATACAACTGTGATAATGCATTCATTGGAGTGTGTTTTCAATATTCATAAAATCCTGATTGGGTGTCTGTTTAGATTCTTTAAACATGATTTTAGTGTCTTTTCAAGATTCGTCAATCCTGACTGGAATAGCTTTTTAAGACAAAAATTAGGATGATCCCCAAGGTAATTATGTGATTGGTTCTGATTAAGTACGTATAAGTCAATGACTCGGTATGGTTGCACCTAGTCGTGTTGAGACTACAAATCACCGTCTACAATATTAACCTTGAAAGTATGAAATAACTTAAAATGTTATATACCATATAAATAATTATACAGTGCACCACCGTTGATCTCTTTTTTCTTGTGGGTTTGACTATCTAATATAGTTTGAGTATTTCAATTTGTGGGACGTTACATGCAGATAATTTGCTATGAAATG